TAGTAATTTTGCCAAAAGAGTCTATCAGTTTCAAAAATAATGGGAATGTGTAAATAAAACTAATACAGTAAACAACTTTTGAAGTTATTGTATAATGTACAAAAATAGCAGGATACAGTGTTATGTTTTAGTTGTAAAACTTACTAAATCAGGAGGTAACAAAACATTTTTATTATTTATCTTTGATTTGATGTGYTAATCATTTTGCTGTTTGAACAAAGTCATAATCAGGTAATACGACTTGCTGTTAATATAGCTTTAATAGGGATATTTTTATGTTTTTAACTATTTTTTTAATAAAAAATCTTTAAAGTAACCAATTTAACAGCCAACTTTTGGCTTATTTTGGTCTGTTGTTTCAATATTAGAAAAATATGGTGGCACAGTTGTTAGAGCAAATATATAGTTTTTGCAGTAAAACTTTTTTTTAATAACAGATATTCTATGTTTCCAATCATGCAGGTAAACTGCAGTAATTTCCAAGTTACAAGCCCTTTGTCATTAGTGAACTTGTACACCGATTCTGATAGAACTATGTGATCAGATCCATAAACAGGTATGTACACCAAAAAGCAAGGCCAACTCATTTACACCAGGGCTATTCAATTGATGGCTCACAAGCCACATTTGGCCCATGGGTGGCCAAAGTTTGGCCAGCCAATTGGTCCATTAATCTCTCAAGTCCAAACTCCCAGTTTTCTATTTAATTACTAGGAGTTCTTTCAGTTAGACGTAGACATGTCTAGTGTCTACAGAAACATCAGAATCTTTACTAGAAGCTGGTAAAAACATTTCTATGAACATCCAAGATAGTTAAAACTGAAGCAGTTAATGATAAAGCTATGAAAGGGAAAATACAATTAAAAATTTGGCAAGTCAGAGATGTCAAAATAATATTTGTGTTAAAGAGGATTGATGCTATTTTTGTTTTTGAAATTGTTTAATCATCATTATTTTATTGCATAGGGTTTTGTATGTCATATCCATGAATAAATGCAGCAAAATAAACTATTTCAAAGGTAAAATATCTTTTTAATACTTGGTTTGTTTACAAAATGACTTTGATTGCTGGGTGTTGGGCCCCTGTGCTGTTGGCCTGCATTAGCTGTGGCCCCCAAAGCAATTTAGTTGAATAGCCCTGATTTACACATTAGTTCACAATTAGATGTATTCCTGGTCTGTAAACATTGTGACTTGAATACAAACATCAAAAAGCTGCACATCATTTGACCCTGTGTGAAAACCAATTTGTCTTGCCTTCATATGCGCCACAAATGTCACTCTTTGAATTTTCAGCGATGGAAATTTTCTTGGATTTCTCACTACTTTAAATTCAGCTGGAGTATAAAACTGCCTGCTCCACTTTGTGCTCCTAAAAGGGGTTTCGTCTTCTGAAAACCTTATGAGAACAATTTATACCTTTTATCAGGTTTACCTCAAATAAAACTAAACAGCCTTCAAAAAAACAATTCTTCGTGTATGTTATTTTTTTTAAAGTGAATTTAAAACGAAGGATATGTGCATATGTGTATGTATGTGTGCATGTATGTATATGTATGGGTATGTATGTAGGTATGTATGTATTTGTATGGAAGTATGTATATGAAAGTGTTTGGATATGTAGGTAGGGGTACGGTTGTGTATATATTTGTATAKGTAAATGGGTATGGTTTTCAGCAAGGCTTAAGTCATTATAATTATTATGCATTTTTGTTGCTGTGGTTTTGCTTTCTTTGTTTTGTAGGTGTGGAGCCGAGAAGTACGGTGTGCTGTCTTGTGTTTTCTCAACATATAATTTACATATCTTCTAATCTCTTTTTCACTCTTTCTCAATGCATTTCACTTTTTTTCTTTCTTTTCTTCTTTTTCTCCAAAAAAAAAAAAAAAAAGAAAAAAAAATTACATAATAATGGTGTGGAAAGGATGGCTAAAGGGGGAGAAGGGAGGCCATCAAAAAAAAAAAAAAAAAAGTGAATTTAAAACAGATTCATTAATTTTTACCCTTCAATATCCATAATAATTAGAGGGAGGGGTACTAGTTTGTTCAAAACAGCAGAAACTGTACACAAAAATGCACCTTTAAAACTAATCGGAAGCCTTATTTATAATACCAGCATCCTCTTGGGTGAAATACAGAATATGCTAAAACACCATGTATGAAGTATAAAAACAGGTGTGCAACAACGAAGGACTTCAATTACCTGAGTAACTTCTCTTTTACACTGAAGTGAATCTAAGTAAACATGAAACAAATATCATGCTACAAACATRAAAGGAACTAGTAGGACAGTAGCATTAAAGACCTTTTTAAAAAAATATTTAAATCAAGCTGGAATTTGATCCTTCTGATAAAAAATTTCATGCTTGCGCCACGAAGTACACCCAGCACCTTCCAGCCTTTGATGTGACTGAGCCTGATCTTGGCTCCTACTATCCACACTCAGTTCATGTTTAATTTATGAACAAAGGATGACCTACGCAAACCAGACAACAACAGTCACGGCAGTAGAAACAAAGCATGAAAGTCTGTTTAAGCTTTGTGAACACTGTCTGTGACAGAGGGTTGATGAAAGAGCAAAGAGTGTTTGTGGGTTCTCATCTGTCTGGATAAGTTTGGGGGAAAAAAACGATGCAACTTTTCTGGCCTTGAGCCTCATCTGTTGACAATGTTCTGGCTCAGTTCCCAGGAGAAAAAAAAACTGTCAGTGTTGATGCATGCGGTCATCCCCTTTCAGATCGTCCTAAGAGGGTTTCATGACGTGTCTGCTCATCTTTTGTTACTGTTCCCTGCAGGTCACATGACCGTCTCTCTTTCCTCCTCAACGACAGGCGGAGGTTTTTCTTCCTGTTTGGGTTGTGTATGAGCCGAGTGCTCCTCCTCAGGAATGTGGAGTTCCTGTCCCGAGGACGGTATGGAGTTCTCTGAGACGGAGCCGTTCTTTACGTATCCGGGCAGGTTTCTGTGGCCGTTTACCGGCGCCTGCCCCAGCCTCGTGGTGAGGTGGAGGCCCAGCGGACCTCTGGCTGTGACGTTGGTAACGCTGGTGTGTGATACCATAGGTCCATAGCTATAAGTGCTGCTGCCACTTCGAGCTTTTCTTTTAAAGTCGAGGGCCAGAGTTCTTCTGTTCCAGGACTTTTTGATCTCAGCTTGCACCTTGAAGAGAAAAAAAGTAAGTAAAAGGTATAAAACATATAAAAATATTGTAATTAAAAGGGTAAAATCACACATTTTTCAGTTCTTACCTCTCCATTGCAAAAACAGTATATAATTGCAACTAAAAAGCCCTGAAAAAAAAAACAGCAAATAAGGACATTACTCACATTATTCATAACTCAGCTACATTAAAGTAGACATATCATGCTTTTCAATCCTTCTTTTTTTTGCATGAAAATTGTTCAGTTGGGGTCTATCTAAAGTGGAACTGTAATGCTTTGATCTGAATTCCTCCTTGTTGTAACTCCACAATCCCCTCTAACACCCCTTTTCTCTAAGATTTGTCTCAGATGAACTCGTTTTGATGCTGTCTCTTTAAATCTAAACATGGCGCTCCACACTCCGCCCCCCTCCAGCTTCTAAAGCAGTCCATTCTGGTTTGATAGAGAGGTTTATCACTATATAGCTGCGCAGAAACAGTTTATTTACAAATTAATTAAAATATGACAACAACAGAAAACTTGTCCATTCAGCCTTACATGATGGAGCCAGAGTCTGACCCAGAGAAAGAGGAGAATGAAGATTATGAAATTATAGTTGGTAAATTTGGCAGTTCCGTCGCATATAATTTGACATTTAGAAAATAGAGAAAACTGAACAGGTTGTTATGACCCAAACAGAATATTAATATATCTACACAGCACCAGGAGAGACTAAATTCTAATTTTCCGCACTCCTGAAGTGCATTTAATTGCTAAAAAAGTGGATTTTGCTTGACATGTCCCCTTCAGGCACACTAAAAATGACATGACAGACACATAATTTGACAAAACCACAAACATTTTGTTGATTTAATTTAGGAATGTATAAAAACATCAACTAAACAATGAACAACTGATATTCTCTAACTGTGCTTCAGATATAATGTTAACCCAGACAGCAAATCTAATCAGGTCAATCAGATTTTTTGGGGACATAAAAAAAACATGAAAGTGTTTTAGAGGGGAATTTTCAGGGTGTCTTCCATGTCAGATTTACCTGGAAAGAGTTGAAAAGCATCTCGTAGTGCATCTGTATCAACCACGGTATCTCAGACACCTCTGTGTATGGCATGGCATTAAATATGATGTAGTGGACTCCAAACAGAGGCATCAGCACCAGCGTGGACTTCAGCAGTTTTCTGTAACAGAATGTTTTACACTCTCAAGCAAGTGATTATAAAAAACACTGATTTAAATTCTCAAAGTTAAAGCCTAAAAACAGTTTTAAAAGTCTTGTTACACCCCATCCTTTTATGAGTTGACACAATTTCCTGTAGTTCCAATAAAATGTCTTAACTTTGGTCCACCCTTTTGTTTTGTTTGCTTTTAGAGCTTTTTTTAATTGCAGCTGATTTTAGAGAGCAAAGCGAGACATTTGACATCACTCCTCTCCTCTCTGTTGTGGGACACACATTTCTGGAGCAGATTACAATGAAAAAAAAAGGATCATAAACTGCTTAAAAAGACCTGCAGCACTAATAACTTATGAATATTTTGATTGCTGTGTAGCTAAAATAACACTATTTCATACATGTCATAATTTTTAGAGGCCAGCCTTTTAGAATACCTGTACTGTTGTCTGGTGTCACATCTTCCAGCGTTTGTTTCTCGCAGTTTAGTTGCCAGGACTCTGATGATATTCAGAAATAATAAAAAATTGATCTGGAAAAAAGAAAGTGGAAACATAATGACATGGTTAAATGTGGCTGTGAAGTCACAGGTGCAGTGAAGAGTTGTGATTTTCCTGCTCAGCAGGAGAAATGCTGCACGCTGTCGGTTGGTACTCACCATCACAGCCACCAGGATAGGTGTCTGATATATCCATTTCAAATTACCTGCACTTAAATCCCAACACCTGCGGAAACAAACAGGAAAAGTGGTCTTGATCATGTGCTGTGACTGTTGTTTCTGTATTGTTTAATACAGTGAGGTCCAAATAAGATCAAGCTGTGAGCCTGTGGGCCTTCAATTGACATTTGGTGATGTAGTGCCAACATTTTTTTAAGCCTTTCACCGCCCGACGGGCCCAGCAGATGGTGTCATTCATTGTTGTTCGCTAAAGTAGGCGTAAAACTTATTTTWCCCAWTTTTTTTCTAAGTCTGTCACAAAAGGTGTCTTTAATGTTTTTAAAATGAGTCGCCAAATTATTTTTGGATAAATATTTATGATTTTAGAGCTATGTAAACCTTTGTAAGTTACTTGAGCCGTCGYGGACCGTTTYAGTTTCAGGAAGTTCTCYGCRTCTGTTGCTGTGCAAGGTTTGGTTCCATACCCCTCCCTTTGGTATCTTTGAAAAGACGAAGCTCTCACAAATTCAAGGATATACCTTGACACTGTGTTACTCTTTGTTTGGTGATGTGAAGTTTGTGCATAACCGAGAGTATAAATAACAGCCCTCATGCGTAAAACGTTGAGGTGGAGTTAGGTTCCATTCAGTGATATCATGGTGTGCACAGTGGTAGATTKTGATGATGCACAGTATAAATGTAAAAAGAAAATGTTATGTGATTTGCAGAATGAGTCCTACAATAGAAATCAACACGTTTATTAGACCAGATTCTCTTTTATAAAGTAAAAAAAAAATTGGCACAGTTTTGGGTACATTTGGCTAAATTGTGCCAAAAATGCCATTTCCGCCTGGCACAATGCTCACTAAAACCTTTGTGAAATGAATATACTTCATCTTATTCAGTCCTACTTTGCTACAATTTTTCTTAAGATGTAGATGTATAAAATCTAAGGGCATTCCTGGGTTTTCACAAGAATTTTCATTGTGTTTTGCACTGTTGATTTAAAAAAAAAATTAGGCAAGGCAAAAAAAAATTACCAATTTTCCTTATTTAACCACAAATAACTCAGGCACAGTAAGAGTTACAATAGTGTGTTCACTTAAGAAACAGAGATACCAAGAGTTAGCATTTAGACCTTATAACTGTGGAGCTATTCTTGCTTTATTTTGCTGTGTATCTTCAGCCCCCCTTAGAGCTTAACAGTTATTTATCTAGGTTATATTTTAAAGACAATGTTTGACTCTAGGTTGTCTGTATTATCTGTGCAAAGGATGATCAGCCTGTCCAGAGTGTACCAGATCTCTGGCCCAACAGCAGCTGGGACAGTCTCAATAGCCCAACTGCACCAAACAGTCGTGTTGATAATGGATGGATATTAAGTTCTTTAAACTGAAATTGTATTGTTCATCATTAGTCATCCGGTTTTAATGTTGCTGTGTGAAAATTTGACAGGAATAATGAAGACATTAATCACACACATCACTGCACTTACTCTGTGTCAGCAAGCATGGTTCTAACAGTTGCCCAGATGGTCACAAACACAGCCGGTACTCCTACAAAACGAATAAAAAGTATAAAACTGCTCTCGTAAAATGGCTATAACAAGTATGTCACATTTTTCAGTTTACACCATATATGTGGAGCTTGGGTAGGACAGCATCCACATTGTATGCGCTGTGCTTAATATGTAAGTTATACGCACAGTGTGTACAATGCAGGGACTGTAAAACCCCTTATTCAAGCAGAGTCATTAATCACTGTCTATTTTTAAGACAATATCAACAAAGGTATTGACAGGGTTTCCCACTCCCCTTTGTGGGCAAAGCTTTAAAAAATGAAGCACTCTACTGGCTCGTTTAAAAATGTATTGGGCCAAAAGGTACAGTATGATCAAGCAAAGTAAATGAAGCAGAGCTCACCCCATCCAATCAGAGTAAATCCCCAGAGATACTTCTTGTCCGAGAAAAAGGTCATAAAGATGAGGCTGTGGAGGTAAAGACCCTCCACAAGGATCCAGTAGTAATTGGTCGCCAGGAAATACATGAACAAGGTCACGACCAGCTTGCAGCTAATCTATAAAAAACAAAGTAGACAAATGGAACCAATTAATCAATATTCTTAATGAAAAAAAGGGTTGGTTTGAACTCGTTTGTCATTTTTTTTGGCTAATTCTGAGAATACTTGGATCTTTTGTGTACGCTGTCCAAATGAGTGGAACGCAAAAAATTTACAAATGGACTGACCATCCATCCATCCMTCCATCCATCCATCCATCCATCCATCCATCCATCCATACATCCATCCATCCATCCATCCATCCATCCATCCATCCATCCATCCATCCATCCATTTTCATTGCCTGCATTTCTGTTCAAGGAAAGTGGAGCATGTGTGCGGTAATCTCAACAGCAATCTCGTAATAAAACTAACTGAGCAGACTTCCTGATGTGAAATGAAACGTGGTGAATTGGACTGTTTCAGCTAATCTAGAAYAACACTGGCACAGTTCTAACAAAAGCCTGTGAAAAGGATCACTTCACACTTTCTCAGGCCAGGAGGATTTTTTTGTGCCCCATCAAACTGAAATGAAAATACAGTTGGCCTAAAACACACAAACTGGGATGTATTCCACATTATTTTTCTATACTTTTCTCAGCTTGCTGCTGCATTAAGAACCATTTCATTCAGTCAGATCATCAGGGAGAAGTCTGCTGTTTCCTACTATCACAAATAACCATAAACATCTTGTCTGAAAATATAGAAAGACATCTGCAAGTCAACCTTAACATGTTCTTTTACATACGTTTTTATATCTTTTTTGTTTTACATTTTTATATCTTTTTTGTTTTACATTTTTCTTTATGTTTTTGTTTTTTTAAGCCTTTTGTTTTTGCATTTGCATTATTCTTCACATTAAGAGCATTTCCCCTTTCACCACAACACTCATCAGACATCTGAATTAGTTCAGACTGAAAATATCTGCTCTTGTAATCACCCTTTGATCATCTATTTTCCAACATAATAACTTACTGTATCTTAGTGTGAGAAGCTTTGAACTGCTTTGTTTGTAGCCAACTCGGGGTATTAAAAATAAAGGAAAAAAAACGTGTAGACTAATATTCTTGATATTTATGATCTCACATCTCGACCTGCTTCATGTAACCTAAAATTTGTTATAGTTGTGACCCAGACAATTATCTCATGATTAGTGAATTAAAATTTAAACATTTTTAGTTTGACATTCATGCTTGCAGATGCTTTTCTGAACTTGGACTTTCATCACTACCACACAGCATTTATTCTATATAATTTACTCAAAAAGAAATTACCCTTTCTGTGTGGAGTATGTCTGCTTTAACTCTGCATGTGTGAATTTTATTTGGGTACTTTGTTCTGCAGGCCTGAAAAATACAGATAAGTTAACTGATAATTCTAAATCAATTTGGGGTGAAAGGGTTAATTAATTAACACAGGTAGCTGGCCCTGTGAAGGCCTGAGGACCTGTCCAGGGTGTAAAAGCTCCCTGCTGCACAGGATCAAACAGACACAGGAATTGGATAGAAAAATGGACCTCCTGTTGCAGATGTTGCCGCTGCATTGTTATAAATGATTCACTGAAGCCACGTTCTCATACTGTTCTCTTATTATTCTAATTTATTCTCTTTCTGTACATCAGTTTGTGACTTATAGACAACAATAAAGATTTGGTGATCAGGGACCTTTTTAATGAGAGCGTTCTAACTTTGGTGGTGATACGGGTCTTTGATTTGAATCATGTTCCAGAACCTGAACTCTGATTTAAAGACAAGAATTGAGTGGATTTCCAAAGTTGGTGATTATTGAGTTTTTGTCCCTTCAGGGAAAACGTATCRGGAAGAAAGGCTTGTTTTTGTTTAATTAGAGAAACAGCCACAATGTAAYGCTGAGGAATTTAAATAAAGCTTTGAATGAATGAATGCACTCAGCCAAAGCCCAAATATATAAGTCCTGTTACTGTGCTGAATATATATGCAACCAACTCTGACAAAGCTGTTTCAGTACTGGTCAGTTTGGTAAGACACAGGATAAGGTATGTCCCTTAAATATATTGCAAAAAAAATGCATTTGAAAACATCCATGAAAAGTAAACAGTTATTCTCCCCACACTTTTTTTAAGTATGGAAGGGAAAGCAAAGTACTGGACTAAAACCTTGGCAGGGTGACAAGCACTGCAGTTTATTTGCTCCAGTACTGGAAAAGTAAGGAAGACCCAAGATTTGTACCACTTCCACCTTGGATGCAAAATGTGAAACACTAAAATAAACTGTAAATCAAATTCTCTGTCCATGCAAAGCAGTCAAATGTTGACAGCACAAGAAATATTTGCAATTTTATAAGCGTTATAAGCAATTTCTTTTATACAACATGTGCAAAAATGATTCTTGTAACTCTTAAATATTTAAAATCTACAGAATTTTTAACTTACAAATTGCATTTTGTTGGCTGGCGGAGCTTCTGTAATGGACTTGAGGTCCTCCACTGTGACTCTTTCCATGTTCTCCAACGCAGATCCGGAGTAAAGAACAACATCTTTCACAAATATACTTATAGCTCGTAGCATGTAGGACACAAATAAGTGCATATGGATGTAGTTTCTGGTGCAGTGCAACCGTCTGGGGAAACAAATCAAAAAATAAATAAAAAATAATAATAAAAAGAAATAAAAAAAACCAGCAGCCAGGTCAAATGATTGATTTGTCAAAAAGATTGTTGAAAATAGTTTGCACACTTTCATGAAATTAGCATAAAGCGTTTTAACCATRTGAACTGTGCTCATCCTAATTAGAGCCAGGTGAAGCTGACTGTAACACATGCTTCAGATTTTAAGAAAACACAAAAATATTAGATTGCTATGCTCGGAATAAAAAGCTGTGAAACAAATTGCAAGCACGTGTTGAGCAGTTGCAAAACCATGTCAATTTCTGGCTGTCAAACATCCCAAACACTTGCTATGGCTTGACCTCTGGCGTCACGATCCACTGGACTTAATTTGCCGGGTCAACGGACAGAAGTTTAAAAAAAATAATTCCAAGGAAATGTTTTACTGGCTCTGTATCAGTGCCAAAAAATCATACAACCTCAAATTTTAAACACTTACAGGGGACTGAAATCAAACCTCTGTATCCACAATCAGCCCCATCCACATTTCTATCACTAAATCTCATTAATGAGCTGACAAGGTGCCCTCAGAGAACTATTGATTCAGGAAAACTAATCTCGCACACATTTCCCAGGTGAAAATACCAGAACACAAGTGCTAATGTAAAATATCCCTTTGCCCTCYCTGGAAAACATTTACGAGCTTTCATTTTTAAAAAGCTGATGTGTTGAAGGGGAGACATGGTTGGAGCACTTCGGCGCTCYGTGCCAGAATGTCAGATGGGCCCCTGGGATAACTTATTAAACTCATTTGGCACGTATATTTCCCGGTGCCAGTTGGAAGCGTGCCCGAAACCTTCTGACTGACTGCCTGTACAGTAAGTTACGTCGGTGGGAACGTTGGTAAACAGTGTCTTGACATCGATTCCTGATACTCTCTATGCCCCATAAAATAAGCAAAAACTGGCTCGGCGTACATCTGATTGGTCCGCATTCAACCCTGTTGCAGGACTTTGTGGAAAATTTTTCCTAATAGAATCAAGATAAGGTTTATGTACAAAGTATCGGACACAAATCTAATAATCTACAAACAAACTCTCTTAATGTGGCTGTTTACTTACTACTTCTAGATGTTTAGAACTTTCCTTTTTTTTTTTGCTTTCATGACATAGCAGTGGAACGGCAGAGAGAGAGAGAGAGAGAGAGAGAGAGAGAGAGAGAGAGAAATCCAACTGTAATTTTCTTCTAAGTCCTGTGGAGTAGTGATGCTGGATACAACCAAATTCCCTTCCAATTCTGATACAGACTGACTGACAGGTCAGAGAACTCATGTTTTAGCATTGATACTAGAGCAGGGGTGGGCAATCATGGTCCTCGAGGGCCGCAGCCCTACGTTTTACATCTTTCCCTGCTCCAACACACCTGGTTCAGTCACTGAACTACCTCTTCCAGGTTCTGCTGTATGGAGGACTGAAACTGACATCATTAGAAATAAAAGCAGAAATAGATAATGAATCTTTAAATAAATAAATACACTTAAAATG